TATATGAATAATGCCAATGACATTGCGATGTGAGGCATATAATAAGTATATATATATATCATCTAACCGGATATTATGTATATATATATGTACTTTGAAGTAGGTTGCCATCATGTAGTGTAGTAATGTAATGTGATGTAGTGTAGTGCAATGTACGGAGATGCCACGCAACGTACTGTGATGTAATGTATTGTAATGCAAGTAACTGCAATGGATTTTCCATGTAACACAAGATAATAAAACAATAAAATGATATAAAATGTATCAAAGTCTCACAAAGTGTAATATATACTGTGCTGTACGTGTCCGTGCATTTCTTCATGTGCTGGTCATCTCACATCATTTCACTGGAGAATTTCACCAGGGTTTGGTCATCCCCTTTGGGGGTAGCAATGTCGCTCCAAGATGGATGTTTTTTATAGGACATTTCACCACCTGTGCATCATTTTGCGTAGATTATACACTTCACCAACCTGAGAAAGCCTCTTCTTGGAATATTTTGGAGTCTTGCCCTAACCATCATATATGACATATATTGATATATTGTATAAATATATTTCAGATTTATTACAAAGGTGACTTCCCAGATATTTATGAATCTATCATAATTTATGACCAACCACAAATATCTTGGAGTCAAAAAAAACTACCCCAAATCCAGATCCGCGGCCTTCGAGGCCTTCGAGGCCTTGGCAAACTTGGGTCCCTTTGGATTCATGACATCGACGATCATTTTTTCACGGGCCTGGCCGCTGCGACTTGGGAAATCCAAGGGGATTGTTTCTCCAGTTTTCAATGGGATTGCGAAATCTAGCCAGTCGCAATGATCCTATTTTAAAAAAAACTGAATGTTTATCCAAATTATGGGCAAAATCACCCCGGAAGGTGCAAGACCAAAATTTGGTTTTCTTGATGTTTTTTTTCTCAAACTGGCGACAATCCTTTTCAGATTCAGGAAAACATGTTTGGACCGTTTGGACCGTGCTTCTTGCTGATAGAGCAAGAGGTAAACTCTGAAAATTCGATGACATCAATTTCACACACCCTTCGGGTAACTTGTAAACAGCCAATTAAAATTCAAAATAATCATCAAGTACTTCTAAAATTCAAAAAATATGCATTTTTATTCATTCAATAAATATCAATAAATCTAAAAGAAAAAAAATTGAACATTTTCCCCAAAGACAACCCATAACTTTGGTGAAGATCCCCTGAAGGGATCCATTGAAATATCATGAAATATCATCCTTCAGCGTCCTCCTTCATGTCTTGCATCATCTTGGATGCCAGATCAGTGCGGGTCGCCAACTGGCACAATCGATGTCACGAATTGTCGATGGATGGTTTGATGGTTTCACGGAAAATAAACCAGTGGTTTTTTCCCATCAAGCACACGGGAACTGGCATAGTGAACACAACACCACCAAACAAAGTAACTAATTTAATTAATCATTACATGCAATAATTACTTGCGATAATTGATTTCAAGACCAACCTTTCAAACCAGCACGTTTGTTTCTTTTCGAACGGACGACAATCAGGTTGACTTGGCGAAAGACTGTCGAAACACTGCGCCTCTCGGCATGGCAGCCTGTGACGGAAATGAGGAAGCAACATACCGCAAGTCCTTATGTTTGTATAGATTATCTTACATTTGCATCCCTAGAATCATAAGTCAATAAGAACCATTTATGGATATCCGAGCAAATGTACTTTCTTTGGTTTTTTGCCTTTGTACTATTTGAGATGCACACCCAAATAACCATGATTTTATCATCCAAATTGTCAAAAAAAAATTGTTGAACATTTCCGTTGTGGACCCACCAACAAACCTCCGAACCTCCGCCATGCAAAGAACGGGCCACAAGGGCCACGAGGGGTCATGGCTCGCATGGTACCATCATTTTTTGTTTCAAACAAAACGCGATTGAGATTTTCCATGCCGTATTTGCCTCTAAATAATCCCCTTTGGGGGTGGTCTGGTATACCACTGTGGCCACTTACTGAAAATAGTTGCCGGGTGACAATAACCCCACGTGATCCTTCTATCAATCAACAAACCGGTAAGAAACGAATATCAATGATCGAATTGTTGCAAAAAAAACGAACGCTTCGAAAAAAAACATCTACAAACACGCCATGTCATGGATATGTTTTTATGGTGCAAACCCTTCCTCCAGCCAAACTCAGCGCTGCTTCTTTTTGACATGATGGCTGTTCACAAGGCTGTTCACAAGGTCACTCCAGGCTCAAGGGCTAGCGGCTAGGCATATGGAACCAGAGGCATTGGTTTTCAAGCATGGTGGTGTAAGGGGCGGCGGTGGGTCGGCGCAGAAAACCGTAAAAGGGTTCCCACCCGCCCACCCGCTTTGAGTGGAAGCTGCATGCCGGGCGACATGCATTTGCACTGTTGCACTAATAATGTGTTGTCTCAAGCGACAAGCACTTTATGGTGCAAACGCTTCCTCCAGCCAAACTCAGCGCTGCTTCTTTTTGACATGATGGCTGTTCACAAGGTCACTCCCCCCATCTCTTTCCAACCTTGTGATGAGATGATCCAGAAAGGTTGTCGCGTCCACTGACACGTTGACAGCTCTTTGGAAAAACTCTGTGCTGATGTCGTTCCTGGATGGTGGGTCAGCAATATTGCTCTTTGATGGCACTCGTGCAATCCAGGTGAAGGAATGGATTTGTGCCTCCATTTCCGCAAAGTAGCCAGCAAGGATGTCTACGACAATGTTTGTTGAGGAGCCTTTAAGAAGCGAAAATTTTGTTCCCAAAAATCAAGCATCTCTTATTCTTGAAATGATCCTTCCACAAAAGGAAGGCAAGGATTGCCGCAAGGGTTTCGGCTTCAAAAATTATTTGTTGCTTACTTTGCTCTCCCAAGGCATCACGTCCTAATTTGTTCACAGGCAAAGAAAAGAATTGTGTTTGACCCTGGTGGTTTTTTTTCCGTCCAACGCCCCTTGGCTTCCGCCAGGTCGTTTAACACGTTCAATTGCATGTTGCAAAAAAGTGAATTGACTAATTAATGCATTGACGTAGGCTATTCGTCGAAAACCTCGAAAAGATGAGCTGGCGAGGACCGATACATAGTCCAAGGAGCCGTCACAATCCAAAAGAAGCAAAGAAACCGCAAACAAACACCAAACAAAACACAAAACACAACCAAAACCAAAAAACAACAAAACCAAAAACACACGAGAGAGAAAGTGATCGGCTGGCCAGTTCAGCAACGTCAAATAGATGGTGAGGAGTGATAACATTGTATCATCCCTATATTGGGTATGGCGGTAAGCCAAACAAAAGACCAGAGGAACATCACCAACATCGCCATACCAGGTTGTGAGTAAAGCAACACAGCGCTATGCGGAAACCAGGGCTCCCCCCAGCCAGGAGCCCCGAGATCACATAGAGCAAGCCGTACAGGCATGAAAACTCACAGGTCTGCAATCCAGTTACCAGCAACGCCTGCCATTGGTAACTGGAAAGGTGAAACAACGCAGGGTGAAACAGAAAGTGAACCAGAACTAGGGTGAAGTGAGTAAGGGTGTCTATCGCGGCACTCACAGCCCTCTCAGAATCATCTCAGTATTTTTTTCTTCCGTCCAACGCTAGATGGCTCTCGCCAGGTCGTTTAACAAACCGGAAATACAATTGCATTTTGCAAATTAAGCGAATTAGATCACTTCAGTCCTGTCGACCGTGTGCAATCAAAAGAGAACTGATTGGATCGATGCATAATCCATTGTGCTGTCACCGTGCAAAAACAGGAAAGCAGACAGCGAAAACAAAAACAAAACAAAGCGCGCAAGAACAAACAACAAACAAAACAACAAAAAACAAGACAGCACGGCTGGTGGTCAGCTGATCAGTTCATAGTCCTTGCAATGTACAAGAAAGATGATAGCTTTGTATCACCAAGGGATTGGTATGGCAGAGGTAAAACAAACAACAAAAACAGAAAGACCACAACTATGCCATACAGAAATCTGTGAGCCAGGAATCAACAAAAGCACAATGCGGAAACCAAGGCTCCCCCCAGCCAGGAGCCTCGAGATCACAAAGTGCAGCCGCACGGACAACATTCACACAGATTGTTAGATATGATCCCAAAGCCGGTGATGACACAGTCATATGGCACATGGGAAAGAGAAAATAGAGGTAGTGAGACATGAATGAAACAGGATCTACGGTGAAACATCAAGAGCTACAGGCGGTCAGGGGCCACTCAGAGTCCGCTCACGTGTGCTTTGCCTATCATCAGCTTCGAATGAGTATCTAGCATTCAAGCCAGTAGTCTTCGTGGAGAAGACTAGGAAGGTTTCCATAATGCTACGTGGGATACCCACGGCTGATGGTCCAACATCCCGCCCAAGCCCATCCTCCACGTGCCTTCCTGTATTGTCCAACTGACCAACATGGGATACCCATGGCTGGTTTGTACGCTCCTGGCCAACACTGCATCCAGTGTAAGTTAGTAGTGACTTTCATAACCTCTAACTACATATACAACTTAGTTGTAAAGAGTGGTAACTAGGAAGAGGTGGGGGTCCTTCGCTAACACTAGTGAGTAAGGGAGGGAAGGGCAAGGGAGGGAAGGGTAACTAACTAGCAGTAGCTAGGGTAGATGATGTCAAAGTACATCCGCGCCATGGCAGAGTAGTCTCTGAACTGGACCGCCGATCACTTCTCATTGCTTTTTTAGTGCTTGTTTTGCTCTGTTTGGTTTTGGTTTTGTCTGTTCTGTTGCTTTTGGTGTTGTTTTTTCGTTTGCTGTGGTTATGCAATGGAATCGTGACGGCTGCTGGACTATGTACAGGTCCCATACCAGTTCACTTTTGTGGCCTCCAACCAGATGGCGGCTTATGTATGCATTAATTAGATAATTTACCGGTTCCATGCAACATGCAACTGAACGTGTTGAACGACCTGGCGAAAGCCAAGAGGCGTTGGACGGAAAAAACATCCGCGCCATGGCGTCTTGGAGTTCCTCATTCAGCACTTGCTAGCGCATGGAACAGCACTGTCTTCGAGTGTTAGACCATGCAGCCATTTTGCAGCCGTGGAATATCTCCCTGTCTTACATTGTTTGCTGCTAGCCTGGAAGAGGCTGCTGTCAACCGTTTGGCAACATCGATTCTCGATTGACACTGAGCCAAGTCACTACAGACGAGATTGATGCTCCCACCAAACTTCTCGATAAGGCATGTCAAAAACTCCGAGGTATCTCAGAACCATCTCAGAGAATCACTGACCTTGAGACTGCCATGCGTCAACTGCGTCAATTGAGCTGCATTTTGGACAGTTGCACAATTGCTGCCAGCTACGAAGTTAGCCAAGCGCAAAAATCACTGCTGCTCATGCCGCGTACAGCTGTAGGTGCAAGCACATCATCAGGTGAATTGAACGCACAGGTGTCACCGTGGTACTGGGGAGGACCACCTTTGGAAGTCCAAATCTATACACATTTCCAACCCCAAAAACGGGCATCAACAAATCGAACAATTTAATATGTCGCCCGGACTCCGCAAGAAAGCACAAGATGCGCAAGATGCGCAAGATGCTGTTTTGAGGTTTTTGAAGTTTCCAGTTTCAGTCGCGCTGACAAGGCGTTTGAGATTTTTGAAGTTTTTTGAGGTTTTCAGTTCACCATGCAATTTACAAGATGAACCGCGGTTTTGACATTTTTGAGGTTTTCAGTTTCAATCGCATTGACAAGGCGTTTGAGATTTTTTTTGTCCAACGGGGACTCGGGATACTATAATACTATTAGAAGGGGTCCCCAAGCAGGTGGCCACCAAGGGTCCGGGCCAGCATCCCCCCAAAAGCTCGAAGAATTTTAGTCCGGATCTGTTCCCAAGTCCCTGCCAAGGTACAAAGTGCCCTTCTTGTTGCATGCGTTAGGAGTCTAGAGGGGCGAAGGGAGGGGAGTCCAAAAACAAACAACGCATCAAAAGAAAACAAAACTGAGCAGTGCGACGCCCAATCGTGACAAAACGATCCACTGCCAACGCAAACGCAGAAAAAAGCATCCCGCCAGCAATGTCGCAGCAGAATCAGAAGATACCTTCGAAGCCTTCGAAGCCCCCTTAAGGTACCTTAAGGGGGCTTCGGTTCCTCGTTCACTCCCCCCTCCCCCCCCGTCCCCCTTCGGCAAAGGCTTAAGGTACCTTCGAAGGGGGCTTAAAGTACCTTCGCCGAAGGGTGCTCCACGACTGCCCCGGATTGAAAATGTATATAGATTTTCGACTCCCAAAGGTGGTCCTCCCCAGTTCAGCCCGTGGATGTTTGTGTCATCCTTTTTGGCTTTTGTGGTAAACTTTTGAAGCAGCTGGAGGCGTTCTGAGCGTCATGTCGCAACCCCAAAAACAGGGTTGCCACACGCTCCAACATGTAGATTTGGCGCGCCCGTTTTTGTGGAAGGCAAGAGAATTAGATTTCAGATCATGATATTGTGGAAGGCAAGGGGTGAAGTTTAAATACAGTTAGAATTTAGATCATGTCATTGTGGAAGGCAAGGAGGGGGAAGTTTAAATAAAGAGTTAGATTTTAGATCATGGCATTGTGGAAGGCAGGGGGATGAAATTTAAACAAAGAGTTGGAATTTAGATCATGGCATTGTGGAAGGCAAGCGGGGGGAAGTTTAAGTTAGATTTTAGACCATGCCATTGTGGAAGGCAAGAGTGGAACTATAAATAAAGAGTTAGATTTTAGATCATGGCATTGTGCAAGGCAAGGGAGGGGAAAGTTCATAAAAAGTCAAATTTTAGATCAAAGTTTTAAAAATAAAGAGTTGGATTTTAGACCATGGCATTGTGGAAGGCAAGGGGGGGAAGTGTAAATAAAGAGTTGGAATTTAGATCATGGCATTGTGGAAGGCAAGCGGGAGGAAGTTTAAATAAAGAGTTAGATTTTGCATCATGGCATTGTGGAAGGCAGGGGGGGAAGTTCAAATAAAGAGTTGGAATTTAGATCATGGCATTGTGGAAGGCAAGGGGGGGAAGTTGAAATAAAGAGTTAGAATTTAGATCATGGCATTGTGGAAGGCAAGGAGGGAAGTTTAAATAAAGAGTTAGATTTTAGATCATGGCATTGTGGAAGGCAGGGGGATGAAATTTAAACAAAGAGTTGGAATTTAGATCATGGCATTGTGGAAGGCAAGCGGGGGGAAGTTTAAGTTAGATTTTAGACCATGGCATGGTGGAAGGCAGGGGGGAAATTTTGAAGAGTTCGATTTTAGATCATGCCATTGTGGAAGGCAAGAGTGGAACTATAAATAAACAGTAGATTTTAGATCATGGCATTGTGGAAGGCAAGGGAGGGGGAAGTTCATAAAAAGTCAGATTTTAGACTCAAGTTTTAAAAACAAGAGTTGGATTTTAGACCATGGCATTGTGGAAGGCAAGCGATCATGGCATTGTGGAAGGCAGGGGAGGAAGTGTAAATAAAGAGTTGGAATTTAGATCATGGCATTGTGGAAGGCAAGGGGGGGAA